GGGGTTTTTTAAAAAAAAAAAGGAAATGATTTTTTTTTTTTTTTTTTTTTTTTTTTTTAAGGCCACTTCTAAAAATACGTCTGGGAATGTTCATCTTCCAAAACAACAGCAACAAAAAACCCATCCCCTGCCTGAGATGCATTCCCACAGGAATCCATTCATTCTGTGCTCAGGAAGTCAGCTCCCTTAGTGTGCCACTTCAGCTGTGCCTTGGCACCTGCCAGGCTCAGAGCTGCTCCTGCCCTGAGGGATCCCAGCCTGGGGGTGGCACCCAGAGCAGGGCAGCAGGGCTGTGCCCAGTGTGGGGCTGGCAGGGCTGTGCCCAGCTGTGCCCAGTGTGGAGCTGGCAGGGCTGTGCCCAGCTGTGCCCAGTGTGGGGCTGGCAGGGCTGTGCCCAGCTGTGCCCAGTGTGGGGCTGGCAGGGCTGTGCCCAGCTGTGCCCAGTGTGGGGCTGGCAGGGCTGTGCCCAGCTTGCCCAGCTGTGGGGCTGGCAGGGCTGTGCCCAGCTGTGCCCAGCTGCAGGGCAGCAGTGGGACACGGGGTATTGAATGTGATTCTGTCCCCACGGCCGAGCTGGATCCCCTCCAGAGCAGGCAATGTCCTGGCACCATGTGGTGCCCCCCATTTCCTCTCCAAGCCACGCACATCCATTTTTTCCTCCCAGATTTCAGCACTACTGGCCCCCCTTCCTCCCGAGGCAGCGCAGCCTCCCACAGCACTGGCTGTGCTCCAGTTCAGTGTGGCTGAAGGAGCTCACTCAGAGACACTGAGTGAGCTGGATCAGAGCAGAGCTCCAGCAGCAGCAGGAGAATACCCTGGAACCCCGAATATTGGCTGTGGCACTGCTGTGCACCTGCCCGGAGCTGTGCCAGGCCAGCCCTGCCCAGGGCAGCAGCACAGCTCTGCTTTGCCCTGCCTCAGCCTGCAGGGATGTCTGCTGCCGTTCCAAGGGCAGGGCAGGCTTGGCAGCCTCTGTATTTTGGGAGAGTTTGGGTTCCTTTCTGCTGCCTGCCGTGGTAACTGAGCTGCCCTCCTGCATTCCCTCCCTTGCTGTGGATACCCAGCAACACACTGTGAATCAAATCCCACCTGGCTGGACAGGAGAAATCGTTAAGAAAAAAACCTGAGGAGACCTCCTGAGAGTCAGGAGAAAACCTGAGAGCTGGCAGCTCTGAAATCCCTGTCCTTCCCCCGTGACAGCTCCTGCTGTGCTGCCGGCTCTGGCTGTTCTGCTTTTACACCTGTGTGGGCTTTGTTCCCCCTCTCTGCTGTTCAGGGATCCACCGAGGAGGAGCAGCACATGACCAAAGGCACCTCCTTAATCGAGAGCCAACACCACCATCTGCTGCACTGCCTGGAAAAAACAACCGTAAGTACCAGCAGGGCCCGGGAGGAGAGTGCCAGCTCTGGGGGCACCCCTGGCACAGCCTGGCACCCCTCCTGGGCTCCCCAGAACAGCCTGCAGGGGGTTCTGCCTCACTGTCTGTGAAATGAGAGCAGGAATTCCCGTGCACAGGGACAAAAATGGGATTTTCTGCTGCCCCCAGTCCCCCACCCCTGCCAGAGCCAGCAGCAGCTCCCTGTGAGCACACACACATTTCAGCCTAAGATCTCAGAATAAGAAGTTTTCATTTTTTCAGTGCCCCTGAAAGACCCAAAGCGCATTTCCCTTCACATCACAGGGCTGAGCAGCACTGAGGGACAGCTCTGCTGCCTCGGGGGGAAGATGCTGCTGGGGGCTCCCAGCCACAGCCTGGCACCAGAGCCAGGGCTGGAAAAAGAACCTTCAGCCCTGGGGGTGGCTCAGAGGGGGAGCTCTGCCCAGGGCTTTAAGGGTGGCACACGTCTTTTCCCATCTCTGCTTGCAAGGGCAGGTGATTTATCCCAAAGCCAGTTTGTACAGCATGACTGCTCTCTTTGCATCCTGCAAGGTGCTGGGAGCCAGAGTTTTATTTTGCATCAGTGACTGATTGTGTGTGAGAAGTCTTTGGGAACATTTCAGATATTTATTTGATACGTATGTTTTGCTTCCAGGTTTTATATAAAAGGTTCTGCAGTAAAGGAACACATTATCTGTACCCTGATTCATTCTAGGGAGAATGGAGAGAGGTTAACACTTGAAATATTCATGCCTTTTTCTATCTGCATCCATCATCAAGTGTACTTTTGATTTCTGACTTGCAAGGGTTTCTTTTAGACAAATCACCTTCACCTCCACAGTTTGGCTTGTGCTGGAAAAGCACCACTTAGGGCTCAGAGATTCCCTGGAAGAAGCTGAGTGATTAATTACAGTGACCTGAGCCCAAGGAGCTCTCAGGGCCCCGTGCCAAGGGCAGTGCACTGATTCTTCCTGTACCAATGGCTCCTGGGTTTGTTCTACACAGCTCATCCTCTATTTCAGTGTTACATTACCAGCAGATGTTTCACAACCTGACTCTTCAGTTTAAACCTTTCTGCCTAAACCCCTCAGGGCTGTGAGCCTCCTTTCCCAGAGCCCCTTCCAGCCCAACGTGAGCAGAGTGGCTGCAGCAGGCAGGGGCTGAGCCCTTCTGGAAAGGCTCTGGCAATTCCGACCCTGCAGGGGCAGCTGAGCACCACCCAAACGGGCCAAGGTGTGCCCTAATTAGTGCTGAGGTGCCCTAATTAGTGAGCGTGGAGCCCTGGCTGTGCCAGCCCAGCACGCTGACAAAGGCTGGCCAAACTCACAAACCTGCTCAGACAATGAACAGAAACGTTCCAAATGCTCCTCTTTTTCAGCAATAACAGAGATACTTGAATTTTGATTAAAACTCAGAAGGAGAATCTGCACAAAGGGGTTTTCCCTCATGCTTTTCAGCCAGTTATTGCCATGGTGCAGCACCAAATCAGACAGCAGGTTTGGATTCTGCTCTGGAATTATCAGGCCAGAAGGTTCAATGGGTTTGTGTGGAGATCCTGCACTTCACATAATCTATTAAAACACTGTGCCACAGAAAATTTACGTTGCAGTAAAAGCATCTTTAAACACTGAAGAGTCATTTTGTGAGCAAGTCGCAGGAATGGAATGAGGAATGTACCATGGTTGCAAGCTTGTTTCAATGGGCAATTCACCCTTCCTGAAAGCAGGCGGAGGATTCCCGAAGTGCATTATTCACTGGCCTGGTCTCTGGGCTGTCACTGGCACACACTTCCAGCCGAGTGGCTGTGAATGGCCACAGATCTGCTGTGTCAGATGACAAAGTGACCCTGGAGCACTTGTAGCTGCCACCACAGAGATTACCTTGTCACATTCCCACAGCAGATGGAGTTGGCTCAAACAAAAGGAGGTTTTTTTCCCTCCCATTCCAACTCCCAGACTGAGTCTGGACATTCACATGCTGTGTTTTCTCCAAGTGCTGAGTGCCTAGAGCCCAGTCCTTCAACCCAAACCCTTCTTCTGTGTTTTCACAGAGTTTGGTCAAACTCCACAGTCCACAACAGCAAAACAATCCCAGTCTGTGATCTGTGGATCAGCAGCTGAAACCTTGTTTGCCCTTGGCTCTCAGATGATCAAAGCAGTAAAGTTGTTCTGGTTTTGCTCTGTTTCCATGACCAGAGCACTCAAAAGCTGAATTGTCAGAAAGGTTCTGGTTGAGGGGCCTGAGAGAAGGATCTGTTGCCCATTCGAACTTGAGCTGGAATGCTGAGGCGAGAGATGCAGTGCTGGGACTAAACTGTGGATGCTGGAATGGACAATGAATTGTGTTTTTATCTTCTGTTGGCATGTTGTCCCGTAGGGATTGTCCTATCTTGTGGATGATCCCCTGTTATCTGTACGAACTTCCACCATCAAGGTATTTCCTTTTCAATTCGCTGTTTTCTCTGTGCTCGCTGTGACGTGTCTGGGCAGTGTTTGCTTACTCCTCCTCCTGGTCCTGTCCTGGGCAGTCTGTGCACGTGGCTCCCTTTGGCTTTCCAGTGCTCTTGTTCCTTGTGGGAGTTGTTTCTTGTTCCAATGGGGTCTGGTGGCTGCTTTCAGCACGGTTGCTTTGTTTCCCATCTCCTCTGACACCGACAGGGACTGGACGAGGTCTGTTCACTCTACCTGGGTGTTCTTAGCCACACAAGAGAGTTCTTTCTTTCAGGATTTCTCATTCCTTACCACAAAAGCTCTTTACAGATTCAGCTTTCCGAATTTCCTTCTCCCTGAGCACTTCCCCCTCTTCACTGCTGTGTTTATTGCCCCCAGCTCATGCACTGCAGGGATGCTTTGAGCCCAAGAGCCAAGTTCCATGGCCAGGTGGTCACCCAAATAAAACACAACCCTGCCCCCAGGCATAAAGAAAAGGAGCTTGAGCTCCTTTGGGGTTTCATAACCATGTGGCACTCCAGACTTTTGGAGGCCGTTCTGGGATGCAGCCAGGAGATGAACAGCAGTTCAAACGCACAGTGACCGTGCCAGGCTGCGCGAGCAGGGCAGCAGCGACGGCCTCGCGCTTTCCTCGCTGCAGCAGCGCCTCCCGTTCCCTGCTGCCCGGCAGAGCAGAACCTCCCCTGGCCGCAGAGAGGGCAGAGCCCTGTCCTCCAGGAGTGCCCGGGGCAGCCCTTTACAGGGGCAGAGAGCAGGGGCTGCCACCCCCAGGCTGCCCGTGACCCCGCAGTGCCGGTGGCAGTGCCAGTGCCAGTGACAGCTCTGCTTCTCCCTGCCAGAACCACGAGTTCATCGACGAGCAGCTGTTCGAGCAGAACTGCATGGAGAGCTCCATGCAGAACTACCCCTCGTCCCGGAGCCCCTCTCTGTCCAGCCAGGCCGGGCTCGGCTCGTCGTGCTGCTCGCGGCGCCACAAGAAGAGCGCGCACCTGCCCAACTGCAGCGTGCCCGCCACGCGGCTGCGCAGCATGCAGGAGCTCAGCACCATCCACATCCAGTGCAGCGAGCAGCCCTCCCTCACCACCAGGTACGGGGGCTCGCTGGGGGGCCAGGGGGGCAGGGCTGCCAGGGCTGTGCCCGCTGTGCCCAGCTGTGAGGCTGGCACGGCTGCCAGGGTGGCAGGGTGACAGGGCTGGCAGGGCTGTGCCCAGCTGTGCCCAGCTGCAGGGCTGGCAGGGCAGGCAGGGGGTGGCAGGGCTGTTCTGCAGCTCTGCCCAGCTGTGCCCAGCTGTGCGGCTGGCAGGGTGGCAGGACTGTTCTCCAGCTGCGCCCAGCTGCAGGGCTGGCAGGGTAGGGAGGGCTGTTCTCCAGCTGTGCCCAGCTGTGGGGCTGGCAGGGCTGTTCTCCAGATGTGCCCAGCTGTGGAGTTGGCAGGGTGGCAGGGCTGTTCTCCAGCTGTGCCCAGCTGTGGGGCTGGCAGGGCTGTTCTCCAGATGTGCCCAGCTGTGGAGTTGGCAGGGTGGCAGGGCTGTTCTCCAGCTGTGCCCAGCTGTGAGGCTGGCAGGGCAGGCAGGGTGGCAGGGCTGTTCTCCAGCTGTGCCCAGCTGTGGGGCTGGCAGGGCTGTTCTCCAGCTGTGCCCAGCTGTGGGGCTGGCAGGGCAGGCAGGGCTGGCAGGGCTGTTCTCTAGCTGTGCCCAGCTGTGCCCGGCTGTGGGGCTGGCAGGCTGGCAGGGCTGTGCCCAGCTGTGCCCAGCTGCAGGGTGGCAGGGCTGCTCTCCAGCCAGGGCAGGGCTGGTGGCAGCTCCTTTGTCTCCCCAGCGATGCCCCAAGGGCGCTGGCTCCTGGCTGCCCTGGGAAGGAACAGGTTAAAGCAGAGCCCAGGGCAGCTTGGAAGGCGGAGATCAGGAAAAGGTGCAATGGGCACGATGGCAAAACCCACGGGCCAGCAGCGTCTGCCAGCCAAAGCTCTGGGAGGGCTGAGGGAGTTGGTTTTCATTGTCTGAAAACCTAAATTGCCACTCTGAGCATCACTGGGAAGCAAACAAGAGGAATTTCACCGTGGTGTCAAAGTAGCTGTGACCTGAAAAGCCATCAAGGACACAGGTAAAGTGTCCCTTAATAGAAAATGTTTAAAATTTCATTTTGTACATAAATTTCTGAAAAAGAATCATTTATTCACCATATAATTCCTGCAAATATTAAATTACTTTCTAAATCCCCCTCAGCCCACTAAGGTTTTGTGCACCAGGGCTGGTTTTGAATGTCCCATTCCTCTTCTCCCCGCTCCTATCAAAGGGAAGTAGAAACTGAAACAAAGCTGCCTTCAGGGCAGCAAGTGATTTCTTGGAGCCAGAAGGGCGTTTCAGAGCATGAATTATGAATGAATAAGCACAAAACAAGTCTCCAGCTATTTCAGTTTCAATATGACAACATTTCAAGCCAGCACCTGAAGCAGTAATTCAGGGGAATGTCAGCTGTTCTGGGTGCTAAATCAGATGCCGGTGATATTTTAAATGTCAATACTTATTTCACTTGCTTACCAAACTGGGCAAGGATGGAGAGAGGGAAAACAAAAAGCTTTTCAGTTATTTTTTGTGTGGAATGCAGCCAGCTGGGTGTACTGGTGACCGCTGGCAGGAGCAGCCAGGCCCTGGGGCTGCCCCAGCCGAGGCATCGGGGTGGGATCAGCTCCTGGGTGTTTGGGGATCAGGAACCACCCCCGGGTGAGCAAACAGCAGCAGCAGCTTCCCCGGGAGCTTTACATCCTGAAAGGACAGCCTTGTGTCGAAAATGAACACGGTGGGCTGCTAATAGCAGACTCCTGTAGCTGTGCAGATGCACAGAAATCAACCCATCATTTTCCCCCTGTAATTAATTATAGCATGCAATTGATGCAGATCTAATAAGAATGCTCCCAGCTGTCACATCCTTGAAACTGCTGCAGAGAGAAATAAAATAGAAAAGATCAAGGGACGGTGAATATGAAAGAGGTATTTGAAATGCAAGAAAGACAACATCTTTCTCAGAAAGAGCTACCTGTGCTCTGGAAAGATGCACTACACAGGCCAGTGTATTCAGATGGCCTTTTAAATAAACCAGAATTATGCAAGAAGGAAATGGAAACAGAGCAATTTGCCCTGTGAAAAGCTGTCTCCTAAGCAGGGGGAACGTTACCAGGGCTCGGTGTAATCTGTGTAGACACAAATTGCAGGAACGGGGGGGACGTTCGAACGGAGCCTCGGAATATTTCAGCTGAATAAATCCCTGATTGAGAGCCACCGCCGCTCCCGTCCTCTGCACCGCCTCGCTCTGAGCGGCGAGCCAAGCACTAAATCTGTTTTGCAGTCGTTCCAGCCTCAACATGAAGGCGGATGACGGGCTGAGGCCGAACTGCAAAGGCGCGCAGATCACCACGGCCATCATCAGCATCCCCACGCCGCCCGCGCTGACGCCCGAGGGCGAGAGCAGAGCCGGCCCGGGCAGCCCGGGGCCCGCCACGAACGTTCCCAACGTCGTCAAGGTCTCCGCCTTGTGAGCCGAGCCGAGCCGAGCCGAGCCGAGCCGGGCCGGGCCGGGCCGGGCCGGGCTGGGCTGGGGCGGCGCGTCCCCTCCCGGCACCGGGCACGGGGCACGGCTGGCACCGGGCACGGACACGGCTGGTAACGGGCACGGCACAAGGCTGGTACCGGGCACGGACACGGCTGGCACCGGGCACGGACATGGCTGGTACCGGGCACGGGATATGGCTGGCAGTGGGCACGGACACGGCTGGCACCGGGCACGGGATACCGCTGGTACCGGGCACGGCACACGGCTGGTACCGGGCACGGACACGGCTGGGACCGGGCACGGACACGGCTGGCACCGGGCACGGACACGGCTGGCACCGGGCACGGGACGGGGCTGCGGAGGAGCAGGAGCGCTGCAGGCAGATCCAGCTGTGCCCCGGAGCGCCTGCACAGCTGGAGCGAGGCGGCGGAGTGAGCGGAGATATAACACTGTGTATCGCAGCACCTTTTTAAAGGTTTTTAATGGATAATATTTATTCACGAGGAAATGACTGAAAAGGTGAAAAACAATAGATTTTGTGGATTTTTTTTTTTCCCCTTTCATGGAGCAGAACCTTTAAACCGACCAAAATTTCACTTTTTTTTTTTTTTTCTTTTATAGGAAAAGATTTAGACAAAAGAAGCCACCTGTGAGAGCAGCCCCTGCTCGGCTGTGTGCGTGAGTGTGAGTGTGCAGAGGCACGGAGGGCACGGCCCTGCAGGGAGGTGCCAGCTGTGCCAGCTGTGCCAGCCCGTGCACACACACCCACACACACGCCCCCCTCCCTGGGTGCCACCCCCGATTTAGACTATTTTGTACCCACCTTTCCAGTCAATACAGTGCAATTGCAAACAGTGTGTTTGTCTGCTAATTATTGTCTGTGGAAACATATTTGTGGAGAAAAACAAAAACAACAACGACAAAAAAAAAAAAAGAAGACAGGCTTTAGTAGTTTTAGTCCCACCTGGGTATCTGCTTTCTATTTTTGTTATCACTTACTTGTAAGAGTGTGACTAGACTACAGTTCTGTATTTTTAAAAAGGAAAGAAAAAAAAAAGGTAGGATTCTTTTTTAATACTGTGCACACAAATGGCAGAGAATGAAAGCACTGAACTCAACTGCATCAAGCGTTGCTGAGTCCAACAGAGGTTCCTGGTAATGTTTGCCCATGCTTTTTACTTTTGGTTCCTATAGAGAAATTCCTTTGCTAGCACTGGACGCGTAACCCGTTGTAAATAGTAGCCAAATAATGTCTGGATTTATACTTGATAATAACTAACCCCAGAGCCAAATGCCCGGCATGGACAGAGAGGTGTTTGGCTTTCTCACAGCCTGAGGGCTCCCCTTGTCCCCCCCCTGGCTCCCGGGCTGCGTTGATTTGGGGATAGACAAGGTCAGCAGTTCCAGTTCTCCAGGCCCAGCACAGGATCTGCCTGAGCAGGGGGCAGGACTGGAGTTTGGAAACCTTTGCTGACGTGTGCTTCAGGCAGCGTTTTCTACTGCCAGCTCCACACTTGGTTTGGGAAGAGTCTACCCGTGAACTAACAGCTAACCAAAACCTGAGAACACTGTGTGGTACTGCAGGTGCCTCGCCCCGGGCTGAGCCCTGCTCAGGGCTGGCACCTCCTCTGGCACCTTCCTGGGAAGGATTCCTCCAGGGAAATTCATGCCTGGAACACAACGGGTCCCCTGCCAAGAGCAGCCCTGTCCTGCCACCCTGCCCTTTTCCAGGGGGACAGGCAGGGCAGAGAGGAGCATCCCCTCCTCCTGTGCCAGCCTGGCTGCTGATCCCCCGGTGCACAAACCTCCCCAGCAGGGCAAGACCTGCTCTGAGCAGGGATTTCACCAACTTCAGAGCTGAAGGAACAGCTCAAGGAGTGTCTGAGGCTGCTTCAGCAAAGGGATGATTTTTTTTTTTTTAACATCTGCCGTCCCCTCTCCCGATGTAATATTTATCTGCACATATACACACACATATAGCTAATTACAGACACACACGTGTATAGATAATTAATGCTGATGACACATAGGAGCTGCACCCTGCTTTGGCAGCACTCCTGCTGTGTGTGAGTGGTGGCTGCTGCATTAACTCAATTCCCTCCTTAGAATCCTACCACATCCTAGGAACCCTAGGGCTATGGCTGAGCCTCCAGCAGCTGCACCAGCTTCCAGTCATTTATTCCAGGGCTGCAATACGTTACCCAAAACTATGTTTAGTCCTGTTTTGAAAGATTTAAATGCTCTGCCTTTTGCTGCTTCCTGTAGCAGGTTATACTGCAGTTAATCTTACCATTACTGAGGTTTTTTTGGGTGTTTTAATTTAGTTTTTGCTTTCTTTTCATTAACTGTCATCACCTGAGCACCCCTGCCCTTCTGATCAGAGGCCTTGCTCTCCACCTTGCCACCTTTGCATCCTCCTCTCCACTGGCACAGAGGCAGGGTGAGATGCCCCGTGCTGACAGGGCACAGGAAGAAAATTACAAAGAGTCAGGGATTCCCCGTGGATTCTTGGTGCTGCCTTTCTTACCCCTGACCCAGGGGAGTGCTGCACCAGGCACGTCACACCTCTGTAAATACCGCGGCAGCCCTCGCCCAAGCGCTGCTGGGCTTCCAATCACTGACAGTCAAACTTTTTGCAAAAGGGAGTATAACACTCCATTTTAAGAGGTTAAAAAGGAGGAGGAAAAGCAGCTCCAGGAGTTTCTGGCCGGCTGCTTGGGCTCTGATTGCCACGGCCTCTGTTTGCTTCCACAAAACAGGAATTGTTATCCTGAGCCACGGCTGTGCCTCTGCCATGAGCGGGTCAGCTCCTCAGCACAGGCTCTCAGGGGATGAAACACACCGACTTAAGGAAGCCTGAGCCTAGAGGAACAGGGCTAGAAGTATTTTAATGGAGGCATTAGCTCTCTTTATCCTCTGGAGTCGGCCAAGTAAAGCACCTGGGACTGCTTCGTGGAAAACCAGGGGAGCACTGTGCACCTCGGGGGGCTGCAGGGACAGGGATCCACCCCTGGAGGGACAGGGATCCATCCTGCAAGGGCAGGGATCCACCCCTGGAAGGGCAGAGATCCACCCTGCAGGGACAGGGATCCACCCTTCAGGGACAGGGATCCACCCTGCAGGGACAGGGATCCATCCTGCAGGGACAGGACAGGGATCCACCCCTGGAAGGACAGAGATCCACCCTGCAGGGACAGGGATCCACCCTTCAGGGACAGGGATCCACCCTGCAGGGACAGGGATCCACCCCTGGACAGGGATCCACCCTGCAGGGACAGGGATCCATCCTGCAGGGACAGGACAGGGATCCACCCCTGGAAGGACAGAGATCCACCCTGCAGGGACAGGGATCCACCCTTCAGGGACAGGGATCCACCCTGCAGGGACAGGGATCCACCCCTGGACAGGGATCCATCCTGCAGGGACAGGGATCCACCCTGCAGGGACAGGGATCCACCCCTGGACAGGGATCCACCCCTGGAAGGACAGGGATCCATCCCTGGACAGGGATCCATCCCTGCAGGAGCAGCAGAGCACCCCCAGTTTGGAAATGGGGCAGGGAGGAAATGTGCACCCAGCAGAGCAGGGAGCTGCCCCACAGCCCCTGGCTCCTGACCCAGGGGGCAGAGGGGCCTCCCCAGACTGGAACCCTCAAACAGCCCCAGAACATCCCAAGGACAGCCCAAGCCAGCCCTGGGAGTCCTGAGGCAGAGCCTCCCCTGGAGCACGTGGCTTGTCCCCAGTGTCCCCAGTGTCCCCAGTGTCCCCAGTGCCCCCAGTGCCCCCCTGCCTCACCAGCACCCCAGCCCTCCTGGCACAGCCACCCTGACCCACAAACCAGCACCTGGCACTGCCCCCTCCTCTCATTCCTTGAGACCTTTTATCGTTCTAGAGAAGCTCCTTTAGAAGAGGCAAAAATGGATTCTTTGTACAAAAAGCAAGTGGAAGGGCGTTATTTTTTCAGATTTTCCTAAAGCAATATAAAAATATCAAAAGAGCAACTCCTTTTTCTGAGCATTTTATTTCCTTTCCAAATCTTTTTCTGAAGGAAAAGTATTTTCACGGATTTTCAGCCTACGCTATCAATAGATTTCCTCTCTTCTCACCTGGCATTGAGCTGCTAACAGGATTCACACCCAGCTGGCAGCAAATGATGAAAAACACTGTCACACACAGGCTTTGACTTCCACTGGCTCTTCCTAAAAGCCACCTTTTGTTTCAGTTTCCTTAAAAGGACAACCTAAGTAACACACATGGCTTCAGTGTGGAATACAGCTCATGGATAATTCAAAATACATCTTCCTTTAATTGGCCAGAAAGACCAAATTTAATCAATGCCACTTGTTTAACCTAAACCTGTTGCTAATGCATCTGTACTGTAAGCCAGCATTGTCATTCCAGTCTAGACAGCTTAAGGTGTGTGCATGAAAATCAGATTAATACCAGCAAAAGAAAGCAAATTTCCTTCAAGAGTTTGCTTTTTAAAGTGAAGAGGTTGCAAACATTTTGCATCTTACGTGTATTGTAAAGAAAATCCAGGAAATTAAAAATAATCACATTTAATTTACGTGTTGCAACATCCCTTGGACTTTGTAATATTTCAATCTGTGGGACTAAGGCAGAGTTAAAGTCAGCACTGGTGGAGAGCTGGTGAACATCAGTACCTTTGAACTGCAAGTGTAATTCTGCTTTTCAAGTTAGGAGGCTGAAACACCTTTTCCTCATCACTCACCCACCCAGTCTAGCTCAGCATTTTGTTTTACCACACTTGTTTTTCTCCAGCACTCGGAGCCAGCTGCAGTAGATCCACGGGTTCAGAGCCCGAGCTTTTAGGCTTTGTGTTTGCCAAAAACGCTGTCCATGGTGATTCCCTCTCTCTCAGACTGTCAGGGCAAAGGGAAGGCAGGGAACATCAGGAGCTGAGCCCCAGCAGCCTGGGCTCTGCTCCCCAATTCCTGAGCAATCACTAAGTGACCTCGAAGAAGTCCTTTCACCTCTCTGGCCATCCTGCAGAGCAGAGTGGGGCTCAGCTCCTGCCAGCCCAGAGCGCCACAGGGAATTCTGGAGCCAGAGCCAGAGCTGCTGCTGTGCCCAGGGAGCAGAACCCGTGCCAGAAAGCCTGGGCTGGAACAGAAGAGCAGGTGGCAGAGAGCCTGTGCACGCCCCTCCTCCTGTTCCCAGTCAGGTCTGTCCTGTGTGTCCGTGTGTCCCTCCCCTCCCCGGGCTGAAGCAGAGCTGCCCCGGAGCCCCAGCTGGGGAAGGGGCCCCACTTCACCACCACTGGGAGCTGCCAGGGGCTCCTCGGACCCACCGAGTCTCCAAACACGGTGTGGTGGTCTATTTTTGATAAACCAGCCCGGCATTCCAATGCAATGGTGTTTTCTTTAGGAGTTCTATGTCGTAAGAAGCTCTCAACCCGATTATTTTCTATTTTCGTACTTTAAATGGGCTTTGCTTTACAAATGTCAGAGGACAGATACGAAATGTACTGGACACAACTGCAGGTAGCTTCACTTGAGAACAACTTTCTAGAAGAACCAAGTTTCCTGTTGTCTTCTTTTGGAATTGTAGTGCATCTGTTGAAACTTGTATATCATTTACAGTATTGAGTCTTGTGCCACTGCTGTACCTGATGTATCCAACCCGGATTAAACAGAGTATGTGCCACAAATACCAACAGCATGCTGGAATTTCTTCTAAAAACCTTCTGGGAGGCTCTTTTGGAGAACTTTGGGTGTTGACCTAGGCCACTCCAGATGCATTTAAACACTAATTAACTCTTCCCTAAGCAATCATTAATGGAATCAGTGAGATGCCACAGCACAGCCGTAATGCAGATCCTGAAGGGCATCTCTGACAGGATCCCTCTGTGAATGTTACCAGCTGCAAAAATTCATCCTGGAAACACAATCATGCTGTGTTGGCCTTTCCCAGCCAGGCAGAGAAAGGGGAACCCCTCCCTGGAGCCATTTGTGACACACAGGGACTAAGGCAGGAACAAAGTACAGAAAGAAAAACTTTCCCAATTAGTGCAGGGGCCAGCGCCCCGAGCCAGCCAGCACTGCCATCTTTTCCTGCCCCAGGACAGCCCTGTACAAGCCAAACAGGAAATATCAATTAGTTTTAGCACTAATAGGTAATTCCATTTCTACTTAAACATTCCTCTAAGTGTGGGAAGTCTGATACTGTTGCACCCAGAGGGACAGACCAATTATGATTGCTGCACATTCTCTACATAATTAACTCCTCCACCACACGGCCTGCTGCACACCTTGCTGTAGAAATGTTATTTATACAGCGTTAATTAACTGGATTTAAATTAGCAATACAGGCATTGAGATGCTCATTTCACTCTGCCACTTCACAGGGATATAACTGGGTGTATGTTCACCAAGAGAATTAGGGAAAATGGGATGATCACCAGCTTTGAACAGACCATGGAGCCCCACAGGGAATTCACCCAGCAGCCACAGGGAAGGCAAGAAGAGGGTGGGCAGCCCTGGCACAGGTGCCCAGAGCAGCTGTGGGTGCCCCTGGACCCCTGGCAGTGCCAAGGCCAGGCTGGGCAGGGCTGGGAGCACCTGGGACAGGGGAGGTGTCCCTGCCATGGCAGGGGTGAACAAGGTGAACTTTAAGGTCCCTCCCCACCCAAACCACTCTGGGATTCCATGAAATCCAGCTGGGATTGTTCTGTATTTTCTCCTTTCTGACATTTCTTACGTGGCAATGGCTGCCTTTTATCATCCTTTTTTCACTTTGGATTGTAAAGATTCCAACTGAGCATCCGGCTGTCTTTCTTTTCCTTTTATTAACAAATTGTAACACCCTCACTGTGTAAAACACCCCCCAGACACAGCTGCTCATACAAAGACACCGTTTTTGTCCATCTCAAACAACACCTGTCTCTTGTCAGTGTCCTTTGGAGCAGCCCTGTGGTCGCAGGCCCTGCCCAGCCCTGCTCCCCACCAGCAGCACCAGGACATCAATCCTCATCTCTGAGCAGCTCCTGGAGATAGACTGAGTTGACGTGGTAGGCACTGATGCAGCTGAGGTGCCAGCAGCTCCTGCTGTAGTGAGACACTGCAGCGTAGTAGCTCTGCCAGGCCTCGCAGTAACACCTCCAGCAGTGCTCACAACTGCAGCCCTGGTGTGCAGCACCACCCCGGGAGCTGCAGCTCCTCTCCTCTGCAGCTCTGCTGCTGGCAGGACTGCACTGCTGCTTGTGGCTTTTCCTCTGCTTAGCATTTTGTTTCGGGACTTTCTTTCTCACTTCCTTCTGCCTTGGGCTGTGGGGTGGCTCCAGGGGTGCCTCAGGTGTGGGACAGAATGCTGCTGGGGGCACAGGGCTTGGCTCCTGCGTGTCTGAAAAGGCCTCAGAGCACGAGTTGCTGGCCCTGCTGTGGAAGGAATCCCCAGAGCTCTCTGAGCCATCGCTGTCAGCACGCACAGCCCCGCCTGCTGCTGCTGCCTCTGGCTGATGTTCCATCTCTTCCCACTCCACATCCCCATTTCTGGGCAGCTCACCCTGCTCTCCTGGGCCTGAGTAACTTCTTAAAATCTCCACCTCTCTCTCTGACCCCTCTTTAATGAAATATTCATAATCTTCAACAAAATCTGAGAAGCTCCAGGGATTGGTGAGCTGGGTTTTGAAAGAAGACAAGCATGGAATTTTGGGAAGATTTTTTTTCAAGGCCTCCTCCTCTGGAGGCTGAGTGCTGTGTTGTCCCTCCATCCTGGAGATGGGTTTGACTTGGTTCCTCTGTTTTTTGAGACAGCTGGAAGTTTGGGGGGTTCTATTTTTCTCTACATTTGCAGGTTTTGTCCACTTTTTACTCTGTTTTTGCTTTGGAGGCTTTTTTGGCCTTTCTACAGAAGCATTATCCCTTGGAAGATTAGAGGGAGGCTGAGGAATGTCTGGAAAGCCATTCTGGACAGGCTGCAGCACTGGCTGCTCTGGCTCAGGACACACAGTGTCACAGTTCTCCACAGGAGCCGTGGGTATTGCAGGTTTAACTTCCACCTGCCCTTCCTCAAACTGCTCCATCATTCCAGGGGGGATTGGCTCTGCACAGAAGAGAAACAAGCAGCCACTCAGTCAAAGGTATCCCTCCCTCTGGAGCCCACAGCAGAACCCAAGAGAAACTCCTCAAAACTGCATGTCAGACACCAAGGGAGGGCCACAAAGCAACAATTCCCAGAGGAGTTTAAAGAGCCACAACATTTCCTTCACAGCAGGCACCAAAGGCTGCTCAAGACAAACAACAACACTACATCACTTGTCAGGAGCTGGGTGTGAGGAACGTGGGCTACAAGCAGAGCACCCCAGCACAGAGCCACACTCCAGCCCCTGGGCTTGTGTGAAGCTCTGACTTCAGGAAAGCTCCGAGCCCAGCTGCAGCCCCAGCTCAGAGCCCACCTGGCAGAGGAACAAGCTGCAGGTTGCACTTCTGAGCAATTTTCATCATGGTGTTCTCCTCCTCCCCACGGCAGCAGTAGGTCACAGCCAGCCCCAAGGTGCCTGTGGGACAGAGCACAGTTAATGCAGGCCCAGCAGAGCCCAGCAGAGCCCAGAGCCCAGCCCAGCAGAGCCCAGCCCAGCAGAACTCAGGCCCAGCAGAGCTCAGGGCTCAGGCTAGCAGGGCTCAGGCGCAGCAGAGCTCAGCCCAGCAGGGTCAGGCCCAGCAGAGCCCAGCCCAGCAGGGTCAGGCCCAGCAAAGCCCAGAGCCCGGCCCAGCAGAGCCCAGCCCAGCAGGGTCAGGCCCAGCAAAGCCCAGAGCCCGGCCCAGCACAGTCCAGCCTGGCAGGATCAGGCCCAGCAGAGCCCACAGCCTGGCCCAGCAGAGTCCAGCCCAGCAGAGCCCGGCCCAGCCCAGCCTAGCCCAGCAGAGCCCGGCCTGGCAGAGCCCAGCCCGGCTCAGCCCAGCCCAGCAGAGCCCAGCCCAGCCCGGCCCAGCCCAGCCCAGCCCAGCATGTCAGAGTCACCCCAACACGTCAGAGTCACCCCAACGTGTCAGAGTCACCCCAACACGTCAGAGTCACCCCAACATGTCAGTCACCCCAACGTGTCAGAGTCACCCCAACACGTCAGAGTCACCCCAACGTGTCAGAGTCACCCCAACACGCCTGGCACTCCCAGCACCCTGCCCACGGAGCAGCTTTTAGCTGCAGAGCAACAGATAAATTGACAACTATTTCTGAGGCAGAGCACAGAATGGGTGGGGTTGGATGGGCCCCAGCAGGATCACCTCACTGCAGCCCCTGCCATGGGCAGGCAGTGAGGAATGGGGGTGATCTCTACACCCCACTCTGAAAATGAGCCCATGGTGCTCCATCAGCACATTTCTTATCAGCACATTTGAGTTCTCTCCAATTCCAAGCCAAATCTGACCCTCCCGAGTGACTTTATGTGCGGTACTCCTGCGTGCTGTAAAATCTGCAGAGCAGTTAATAAATTTGAAGTAGGATCTGTAAAAAACTTGTTTGGAAGCAGTAACAGCTCACCAAGTCTGTGGAAATCAGAACTCTGCAGTGGAATTGCTTTAATTTAGCCATAGCATCAAGTCGCTGGCTTTGATTCATGTTGCCTAGGAAGGTAAAAGTTAGAAGCAGGTTACATTCTTCATCTTAATGCCCCTCACATTCTAGAAAACACTGCTTTGTATCATCAGAAATAAGTCAGAAACTCCCTCAAACATCACCCCAAATGAGTAAAGAAGGAACAAACAAAACTGGAAAACTCAGGTCACTCATTACAAAAAAATTATTTTCCTTGTAGATTGAGTCTTAAAAATCTATGAAGAGTCAAATGCTATTCTCAGCCATTTAACCAGAGCCCCTGCAAGGCAAGATTTAAGATATGTTTTCCTATTTTAGGTCACATTTATGCACAATTTCAGTGGAATCAGAAAACTGTGAATGGATTTACCTGAAATGCACTCGGCAGGGAAGCCTCTGGATGTCAGTATTTCAGCCAGATGTTGAGCCCTGAGGGAACACACACCCTGAGAACTGGAAATAAACCCCAGAACTAACAACACCAGCCAGTTCCTAGGTTATTCTCTCCAGCCAAGGACTGCATTCTGGTATTTGCAGTATTTCACAGCGCATTCCTCAGGCTGCATTTCAGAGCTGAGGTCTGCAGGCTGCTCTGTTACCCCTCGTGGATTACCTGCTGTGCAAATTGGAGAACACTAAGGCTTGGTTGAAAGGAATCTTGCTGAACAGCTCCTGCAGGTGCTGGGTTTTTTCCTCAAAGGTTTTATGTGGGAGGGGATGGGAATTCACAATTTTGTAGTACTGCTTCAGCCCTGAGCAGGAAAGCAAAACAACAGATTAGGGGTTGCCATAAGAACATGCACAGAGTTCTGTGAACATGTGACAGTGCAGCTGAAGGGAAACTGCAAACAGGCACACAAACAGTGAGAGCCTCCAGCAGGAGTTTTTCTTAAAAGGCTGACATTTTTCAAATGGATAGAAAAAGCAGAGAGCTCCACTTGTCCCTGGAATTTTAAAAATACAGAATCACAGAGTGGTTTGGGCTGGAAAGGCCTTTAAACACTTTCCCATTCCAGTTCAAGATTCACAACTTCAACACTGGGAAGCAATATTCATAAACTGAACAACTCAGGGGTGAAATGATGAAAAACCATGCATTCTACAGGCATGGCTATGAAAAAACATGGATTATAAAGGCATGATTATGAGAAATTGTGCATTCTACAGGCATGATTATGAGAAACCATGCATTATAAAGGCATGATTATGAAAAATCATGCATTCTACAGGCATGATTATGAGAAATCATGCATTCCACAGGTATGATTATGAAAAATCATGCATTACAAAGGCATGATTGTGAAAAATCATGCATTCTAAAGGCATGATTATGAGAAACCATGCATTCTACAGGCATGATTATGAGAAATCATGGATTCTACAGGCATGATTGTGAAAAACTATGGATTCTACAGGCATGATTATGAGAAATCATGCATCCCACAGGCATGACTATGTGCTTACCAAGAAGGCTGGGGTCCGTGGGGTTCAGCCTCACAAAGGTGGGCTCCCTCATGTACCTGGTGAGAGCAGCAGCCAGGGACTCGGGGTAGGTGGCTGACACTGCCAGCATCTGCTTGTTGACAGGCAGGGAGGAGTAGATCCAGCTGAGGGACACAAGTGGGCAGTTACTCACACAGAGGCACCGATCCGAGCCCAGGGGCAGCACAGGAGGGCTCTGCCTTACTTGACCTGCTCCTGGAAGCTGCCCTCCTCCAGCAGCTTGTCAGCCTCGTCCAGCACCAGGAGCCTCACGCTGGCCGTGCTCAGGTACTCCAGCTCGATCAGCTGCTTGATCCGCCCTGCAGGGCACCAAAGGGAGAGCAGCTCTGGAAACCCAGACACCTAGCAACGAACTGCTCAAGGCTTCTTGAGCTGCCTCTGAGGCTGTGCCCGCTAATGGCAGCAAGCACAGCCAAGCAGCGGCCCCAGGGCCGGCTGTTGAGCCCAGCGGGGCCGCAGGGACACAAAGCACAGCAAAGCTGCTCCCACCTGGCGAGCCCACAGCGATGTGGCACTTCTTCAGCCTGCTCCTGTCCTGGCTCAGAGGCGTCCCTCCGATGAACACGTGGCACTCCAAGCCTTCCATTTTTATGCCGATCGTCGTGATCACGGCGTGGATCTGCACAGCGATCTCCCTGGTGGGAGCCAGGATCAGGATCTGTGCGGGGAAGGGTTAAACGGGAGGAAGGGAGCCGCGGGATGGCGCTGAGAGCCAAGGGATGTAACCGCGGAGCCCCGAAATGAGGGCTCCCTCTCCTCTCCTTTCTTCTCCCTCTCCCTCTTCTCCTCTCCCTCTCCCCTCTTCTCCTTCTCTCTCTTCTCTTCTCCCTCTCCTTCTCCTCTCTTCTTTCTCTCCCTCTTCCTCTCCTCTCCCTCTCCCGTCTTCTCCTTCTCCCTCTCCCTCTCCCCTCCCTTCCTCTCCTCTCCCCTCTTCTCCTCTCCCTCTCCTCTCTTCTCCCTCTCCCTTCTTCTCCTTCTCCCTCTCCCCTCTCCCCTCCCCTCCCCTCCTCTCCCTCTTCTCCCCTCCTCTCCCTCTCCCCCTCCCTCTCCCTCTCCCCCTCCTCTCCCTCTCCCTCTCCTCTCCCTCACCTGCGTGGCGGGGCTGTCCAGCAGCACCGCGTCCAGGGCGATGGTGGCGAACACGCAGGTCTTGCCGGTGCCAGACTTGGCCTGCACGATGAGATCTGCAAAGAGCGGCCACGGGGGTCAGGGCAGCCCCGGGGGCAGCTCCGGGGGCAGCCCCGGCCCCGCGCCCGGCCCGCCCGCTCACCCAGCCCGCAGCGCCCCAGCGGGATGGCCTTCAGCTGCACCGGAGACGGCCGATGGAACCCGGCCGCCTCCAGCCCCGCCAGCACCGGCGGCGACAGCAGGAGAGAGCCGAAGTCGGAGGGGCCGCCGGGCAGCAGCACGTCCCGGGTGCGGAACCGGCCCGCCGCCTCCATGGGCGCCGCCATCTTGGCGGGGCGGGCGGGCAAGTCTCGCGAGAGGTGCCGTGATCGCGTGCCGGGCGAGCGCCGCCAGGGGGCGCCGCGCAGGGAACATGGCGGCGGCGCCGCCTCAGGGCGGGCATGGAGCGGGCACGGCTCGGACGGGCCGGGCCCGGCGGGCTCGGTACCACCGCGGAACAGCCCGAAATCGCTGCTGAGTGCAGCTCCCGGCCCTGCACAGACACCCCAAACCGCACCCTGTGCCTGGGAGCGCTGTCCGAACGCGCCCTGAGCTCCTGGGGCCGTGCCCATCCCTGAGGAGGGCACACAGCTCGCGATTTATGAGCCTACAGAAAATTCCTACAGAAAATTAACAGCACAGTATTCACTCAGCAAAGAGCAAATGTGTTAACCTGTATGTGCGTTAATTACTACCCTCTGTAGGCCGCTCATTTGAAATCGTGGGTGGCTTTATGAATATCAGCTCTGATGGTAGCGCCTCAGAGGCTCTGGACGTGCAGCCCGCATTCATTGCAAGGCGATTTGGAAAATCTCCACGCTGGCTTCTACTGTACGAGCACATACACTGTGCCATTATTCTTACAGTGCCGGGCAGCCAAAATGAATTTTAATGGCTTTGGTGTATCGCAGGCTTGGTCACGCCTTTGAGATCCCTCATGTCTGTATTCCTGATGGGGGAGAGCAGTCTGTCACATTCTGTTCAGTTATGTTTTATTGTGATGATATTTTCCTGAGTACCAAACACTTAACCCTGTGGGACAAAGAGCAGTTCCAGTTTGGAGAGCTGCCCTCCACCAAGGGGGAGCACAGCCAGGTAACAGGATCTACAGGCATGCCGCTGCTCCAATTATTTTTTAATTTTTAAGTGGGTATTCTCATTGGTCCTCAAGGGGAAAGAGTCTCCAACATGAGATAATTGTCTCTGGATAAATCTGGGAAAGGAGACAGACAAAGACACCTGGACGTAACAAACATTTGATTAAATAGAGCCTTTCATAACCCTTTTAAATTGATGTGATTTGAACAGACAAGAAAGAGCAGCGAGGAGGGACTGTTCCTGGGGGGAGGGCAGCGAGGAGGTGACAAAACAGCCCCCAAGAGCCACTGCAGGAACTGCTCCCTCTGTTTCTCTCACTTATTCCCTTTCTCCCAAGGTTTCACAGGCTGCAACACAGCCAAGGTGATCTGGAGACCCAGATTATTCTCTGTGCGTTTGTGAGACATTCAGACACCGTGCCGCCAGCCACAAAGGTGCTGCTGTTTGTTGTTTCATTTTCCTCCAGCCGTTCAGGGCAGACAGACCCCAGACTCGCTGTGTGTGAGACACCCTTGGCAGGTTTGCTGTCCCTGTCCCGCTGGCGTGGCCCTGGCTGTGTCACATTTCAGCTCCTGCAGCTCCCGTGAAGGGTTTTTGCTGAAGGGTTTTGTTGTGACCCCCATCCCCACAGTAAATCGTACCTGCTCCTGCTCCTGGCTTTGCTGAGAGCGCTGTGCGCGGGCTGTGCTGTGCTGTAGTCACAGTGCAAACGGGAATCTTCACCCTTCAGCCTTGCTTCACCTCGGTGACTCTGGAGCGCTCGGGTCCCGTGGCTGACCTTCGCCTGTCAGCCCCGCCAGGAGGGATCTGCAGCTCTGCCGTGACAGGGCTTTGCTCCTGCTTGCAGTAAGAGCCTAAGGAGGTATTCCTGCTCAGAGCAGCCTTTGCAAATCTTGACATTGAATCTGAATACTCTGCAGGCGAAGTAGGTCCTGGGAAAGGATTTAGGCTGGTAAAAGAAGCCGATGAGACATCCTTCAGAGCTGGAGTATTAGTAAAATAACTGGTTATTTTGAAGGATATAAACTCCCTAGCTTGGGGTCATAAAAATCCTTAAAGTTTTAGGATGTAGAAAAGCCCTGCTAGGGAAAATTCTTCCTCCCATAGACACTGAGAGCATGTTTTATTCCTCCAAGAAAGTGCTTGCCACATTTTTGTCCCTGCCAGAAAGTGCACATCACATATTTGATTTAATTCCATGCAGGACCCATTTTCCCCTGAATCTGTATATCAGTGTATCAGCTTCAGGCAAGTGATGTTCTAAGACTTCTGAGTGATGCTGCTGATGCTCCAGATCGGGTGATCACTATTTCAGACTATTTCAGACTATTTCAGACTATTTCAGACTATTTCAGACAATTTCAGCCTAACACCTGCAATACCAGGACTTAGGACTTGCACTAAATACTTCCCACAAATGTATCCATCTCCTCCTTTTCTTATAAAACTACTCTTCATTTCCAGCACTTAAATTCTTGTTGTGACTCTTTGAAATACTGAGGTAAAATGCTCATGGATGGTTTGTATTGGCTTCCAGAACTGTTGGGTTGTGTCTATTTTAAGAATATATTCATTATTGATTTGGACATTGCTACTGCAAACAGGCACCAGCCTTGCCTTATTCCTTTGCCTTCAAAGGATTTGTCTTTCAGATCTGCCAAGACATGGAATTATTCAGAGCAAATCTGGTTTACATAATATTTGTAGAATATTTTGGAAGTGAGATAATCTCATCCTCCTGTCCCAGATGTTTTCAGATTAAGACAGGGAAGTTTCTCTGTTCTCTGCAGCACGTGTGAGTCACTCTTTGGAGCGTGGGGTGTATTTGTGTTTACACTGCCATGGAAACTGTGTTTGTTCTCTGTACAGTAGAGCCCAGGACAGTGAAAGGGCCATTGATCCCAGCAGAGACAGTGGCTGTGTATTCACACCAAAAACTGACTCCGAGCACCCTGCGCATTCACTCGCCCTCTGGAAAAGAAAGCTGCATGGCAAGTCACCAGGAGCAGCAAGCCTTGGGAGCAGCAGGATCCTCTCCATTGTAGTCATGACAGAGCTGTGGGCTCTTCCCAGCGAGTCTGGTGCTGGACTTGTCATAAATAATGGCGAGGAGGAGGATGGTGATGTCTTACATCCATCTACGGCTCGTTTCAGTGCCCCCCTGTGGAATGGATCGGGTTCCTTGTCAGGCACGTTCTTCACGAGGATCAGGGAGAGCTCCCCAGATTGCAGATGGAATCCCAGGCCCACGGGGGAGTCAGCACAGGCACATGCACGGGTGCAGCTGCAGATGAAAGCAAGGAGACCTAAGGGGTCGGGTCAGAGCAGCTGCTCCAGCTCTGCAGAGAGAAATGCCAGTGTTTCACTCCTCTTGTTTTCCTCCAAATAAATAAACATCATCCCAGTTTAATCTTCGATACCAAGATTTGCTAAATTATTTTTTGAGCTCGTATGAGCAGGATCTAGGTCACGAAAGCGCAGCGAGCCGAGAGGAAATCCAATGGATGTTCAGCACAAGGCAGCGCTGCACAAGGAGCTGCCTGGTCCTTACTCCTGGCACTCCAGTGCAGGCAGGGCAATGCCAGCAGCTGGAATTGGGCTGGAGCACCATTAAAACTTTTCATTTTGAGGATGGGGCATGGTGAGGCTGGGGCATGTCAGAACTTTATATATAAAGGCCACAAGTGCAGAGACTGTATGCACTAAATTAGACTTAATGGAAGAAACAGGAATATTTTCAGGGCTATTTTATCTCTTTATGCACAAATATAAAACCAGACAAAGTTCTGGCATTACATCCTTACCTATCGTGGCTGGCTGTTTCTGCCCCAGTGGGTTTAAACAAGGATGGATGCAATTCAGGTCATGCTGCAGCTGAAGTGGGAGGAAATTCTGAAAGGTTTGTCGTCAGTGTGCAAGAAAGTGAAAAGGAAAGAAAATTCAGCGATAACCACGCTTGTTAGTTCAGCAAAGAACAGTCACGTGGGAGCCTGGAGAAAGCAGATCAATGAACTGAAAGACAACAAATGAGATGAGCCTTCAGCTGTGAAGGGATGGATGTTTCCTCAATCAGGAATGAACGAGGCACTTCATGGAAGTGGAATACTCCACTCTGAAGGAGTATTCTAATTTTTGCCCAAGGATCTCAGTTTTTTCTTTTTATCCTGAAATAAACCATGTAGCTTTGTGCTTCAGGGAGTTTTATTCTTGGCTCTGTGTTTTCTCGGAGATCTGATTTTCCAGTGCACTGCACCATCTGCTCATGGTTTACACCACGACGGAGCGGAAGGAGCGCAGGGCCTGGCATGAGGTGTCGGTGCTGCTTTGAACCAGTTGTCTACACGCAAGAGAAAAATGCTGCTTAGTAAGGAAATCCTACTGAGAAAATATTTCACATTTTTCTCTTTGCTTGCAACTTCGCAGGAGTTTGGAGCACATGAATATTCTGGTCTTTTCTTTATTCTGTGCTCCTGAACTCCTTTACCAGTCTCCTGGGGCAGGAGCAGCCCCGGAGGCTGGAAAACGGATCAAAAAGATGTCCTTAGCAGAAGCCAAACAGAGCCTAGAAACTCTTCCTGTTCATCTGCCAGAAGATCACAGAGTCTGGTGTCTTGCAAGAGGCACAGCAGCTTGCAGCATCTGCCACTTGCCTTGTACACGTGCAGGTGGCCTCCTGAATCCTTGACATGCGCCGAGGGTAAAACATTGTGTAAGTTCAGTTTGATCCTTCCAACAGCCATGGGTATCCCTGGCATCTGCACTGTACTGCCACGGTCAAATGTGACAATATCCGTTAAATTTGGGAGTGCTGCAGTGACCCGGTGCTGGGCTGGCCCTTCTCAGCCCTGTCAGGGACAGCATCAGTTAAATTTGGGAGTGCTGCAGTGACCCGGTGCTGGGCTGGCCCTTCTCAGCCCTGTCAGGGACAGCATCAGTTAAATTTGGGAGTGCTGCAGTGACCCGGTGCTGGGCTGGCCCTTCTCAGCCCTGTCAGGGACACTGCACGGCCTGGGGGCTCCTGGGTCACTCCCTGCTCATTCCCCGTGCCCCAGGAGCTGCCCCAGCCGGGGACATTCCGGCTCCTGGGGCCATCCCAGCCTGCTGATCTCTCACTCCTGCCTGGCTCCTCACCCTGCCATATGCTGGGATGGGCTGTGGACATCCACACCCCAGCCCGGCCCGTGGGGAACAGCCAGCTG